CCTATATGCTCTATCTCTCATTCTGATCCCTAAAATAGATGCATGAACAATTGTAGAAAATAAGTGATCAATCCAAGCCACAGTTGGTAAGCAAACAGTTGAAAAACTGAACCCCTACACAACTCTATTGCAAGTCTAAATAATGAATATAGGTTGTCCAAGTCACAATCTAGTTGTCATGCATCAATTCGAAAGCCATTCGATTCACCAATCAAACCCACAATGCCAATATGATCATGCAAACATTAGTACTTGGAGCCCTCAAATCTCGAGATTTGGACAGCGGACTAGGCTCCAAGCACACGAACTCATCTAGCAGTCAACAATAGATAAACACCCCCCGCACTTAAGCACGACATTGCCCTCAATGGAGAAGAGGGAAAGATAAGGGAAAACGATGTTACCGGGAATACAGACTGTCGGGGGACTGGAAATCGGACCAGTCAGCAGGGCTAGATTTATCAAAACACATTGGGTGATAGAAACATAGTTCCAAGTGGACAAACCAAAAACAAACGAAAGGAAAACAAACCTTGGTGGGGTTGCCCCCCCACAAGCGCTTCTTTATCGTCTTTTACCTGGACGCCAGTAGGGTGGATTCTCAGAGAGGTGTAGGAAAAGGTGCCTTCAAGAGCGGATCCACATCGCTCTTGAGGTACAACTTCAGATGGTGGTCATGCACACGACAGGTGTGACCACCAGCACTCGTCAACTCGACCTGGCCATCTGGCAGGATGCAAGTGAGTAAATAGTCGGATGGCCAAGGCGGTCGAGGCTCGGGAGCCGGGACCACCTCATAGTGGTCTCCCGCTTCCTTTTCAGCAGGGTTAGCTACCTGCAGTTTCGGCCGCCACTCCTCCTTGATCTTTTCTTTTGGGAACGGGGTGGATGGGAGTGGCGGCGAAGGTATGGAAGGTGGATCCTGCAAAATGGGAGGCACAGAAGGATACACGACAGACTCGTGCTCCTGGTGAGAAACAACATGCAAAGGCGATGAAGTGGGGAGAGTATTAGCAACGGAAAATGTTATCTGCTCCTCGCCATCTCTCAAGACTAAGGTCCCATCATGTACATCTATGAGAGCCTTGGCGGTGGCCAGGAAAGGCCATCCCAGTATAAGGGGCACTTCTGCGTCTTCATTGATGTCCAAGACAACAAAATCCACAGGATAAAAGAATCTGCCAACCTTAACCAAAAGGTCTTCCACTATGCCCCTAGGATGGACTACAAATCGGTCAGCTAATTGAATACTCATCTTCGTTGCACTGGGTTCACCTAGCCCTAGTTTATTGAACAATTTATAAGGTATCACATTAATACTAGCACCTAGATTCGCCAAGGACCTCTCTACATGAAACTTACCAATAGAGCACGGGATAGTAAAACTACCTGGGTCCTTCTACTTTGGCGGAAGCTTGTTCTACAGAATGGCCGAGCACTCCTCGCTGAGCTCCACTGTGGCCAGCTCGCTCAGCCTCTGCTACTTCGAGAGAAGCTCCTTCAGGAACTTTGCATACTTAGGCATCTGAGATAGTGCCTCCATGAAGGGCGCTTGAACATTCAGCTTCCTAAGCATGGACAAGAAATTGCCAAACTCTACCTCTAGCCTGTCTTTGTACATCCTGGTTGGAAAAGGGAGCTTAGGCTTATATTCAGCCACTACTGGTTGTGGCTTTGGAGCTTGAGCCTCTGGCTCCTTTTTCATCACCAGGTCTTCTTCCGGCTCTGGGGTGATCTGGGTTACCTTCTTGGCACTCTTCTGCGGTGCATCCGCAGTCACAGTCCCACTTCTTAACATAATGGCGTGCAACCCCTTCTTATGATTTCTGAGATTCGGAAGGGGTTGGCCAGGAAGTGTGCCAGCCGTTCTGGAAGCAAGGGCATCTACCAGGTGCCCGATCTTGGTGTCCATATCCTGCAAGAGTGCCTGCTGGTTTCTCTGGCCAGCTTCAATCTCCATGAATTTGCATGCAACCACTTCCATGAATTGCTCCAACTTATTGAACTTTTGGGTCTTAGTATTGGCCAAGGTAGTCACTAGATCCTTCAATTCTGACACGGGATCACTTGGTGCTGGGACTGATGGAGATGCACTAGGCCGGGGTGTACCTGTTGTGGGCACCCACTCTTCTGATTTGGCAGTAGATCTGGACCCCGGGTTGATAAATAGAGCTTGCCACTTTACTGCATTTCCGGACTACGATTACACTTGGTCGCAGTTTGGTGTTGTGTTTTAGCTTGTCAAGTTTTTGCCCCGCCCTGGTGCTCACCTCGACCTCCTAGCAGTACCCCAATCATACCCTTTCTCTGCTATCTCCTCAAAGAGCTGATTCAACTGCGACGACATCTTGGTCAGCATGTTCCCGCCACAAACTGAGTCAATCATATGCTTGTCTTCTGAGAATAGAGCGTGGTAGAAGGTGCCCACCTTGAAAGCATCATTGAAACCATGATTGGGACACCTCAGGAAGAGACTGGTGTATCTCTCCCATGCGTCCCGGATGGTCTCATCTTCCTCTTGTGCAAAATGGGTTAGCTGCTTCTGTAGGTCCGCCGTCTTCGACGGAGGATGATAGCTGGTGAGGAACTTGTCCGCCAGGTTGGCGAACATGGTGATCGAGCCCGGAGGCCGAGTGTCCAGCCACTCCTTGGCCTACCCCTCCAGAGTGAATGGGAAGTACCTCAGCTGGATGGCATCTGCTGGCACCCCATATATCTTGATCCCATCGATGAACTCGTGGATCATCGCAGATGCGATTTGGGACACCCCCCCTCCTTTCCGCGGAATACCAGCGAGCCGCGCAACATGGTGATCGATTTAGTGAATCCAGGTACGCTACACGGCCAAAACCACACGACCGTGTTGAATTTAGGTCTGCCCGTGTAAACTCCTTGGGAATTCCACACGGCCAAAAAGGGCCATTTACACGGCCAGTGTGGCTTGCCCGCGCAAAGGGGTTCCACACGGCCAAGTCACACGACCGTGTGGAATTTAGTCTGCCCGTGTGGAATTTCCAGCTTTTCGTTAAATGTCCCAACTTCGTCCAATCGACCCCAAACTCGTGCCCAAACCTTCCCTCACGTACTAGGACCTGAAATATCACAAACAAGAACAAACTAGAGTGAAATCGGCCTAAAACACGAGAGACGTGACTCAAACGGTATAGGAATGGTGGACAAAAACATGTGTATATATCAAGTCATCAGCAACCATCATCATTTATCGGAAGACAAACAACCAACCTAAGTGGGAAACCCACTATTTCACCCGTAAAAAGGTTAGCCAAGGCCAAGCTAACAGCTTTCGGACGCCAACACAATTTAACAAGGAGCCTAAAGACTATAGATCTCTTCATTCGTGGCAACGACAAGCCTCCATTTGTGATGAATTAGAAGAGTAATCGGAGGCTCCTGCTCTCACCCGCATGTATCAAGCAGAATTCACAACTGAGAAGCTCATATTCTCACCCCGCAAGCATAGAATGAAGCTTGAAAATCGGAGGCGGCGATTGTAAAACAAATAGACGACGGGATCGGAGATGAGGGGCGACCAATCAATTTTGGCCAAGGACTGGGGAAAGGAAAGTCAATACAAGGGGCAGAAGCAAACCCCCACCCGAGATTTGCCGGGAAGAAACGCAGTGGGGAAATGCCCTTGTACGATTTGATGGGAATCGTGAATTCGGACTGTAAAAATGGCGAGAATGAGTGCCTGCGACAGCCGATGAGACCGAGAGGGCATGGAGAAGCTTTGGTTTAATTTTTTTCTTTTAAACAATCAGATAAAAACGTCATCGTTTTAAGCTAGAGACTGGTATCTGATTTCGGTTGAACACCCGGAATTCCCGGTTTTGATCGGAATTGACCAGAGCATCCTATCGGTAGCATTCCAGCCGGTTTCACCACCGATATCTGTTGAACCTGGTTCAACCGGCCGACATGCCACTGGCATGACAATCATGGTCTAATATGATGATATAATATAGAATAACAACTAATCAATCCATTATCATAACCTCTTAACCTTTAATTTTGAATTCCAACTCAAAATCCCAAAATATAAACTCAAAATTTTGAATGATTTTTGTACAAATTCATGTATTTCTTGTTCATCAAACCACTAGTGAGAATTGATATCGTTTTCACATGAATCGCCTTCTCAGAATGACAATTATGAGGCGAATGCATTGAATGCACCCAAAAAAGTGGAAGCACCGAATACGCCACTATATATATATATATCAATATTATGCAATTGTATGAAACTCTTAGAATATATTTATTTATGTTATTTTTTTGAATGCACATATTTGAAAAATGACACATTCATCCAAGAAAAAGAATATTCAAATAAAAATATGTACATATTCAAAGTCTCAAACGCCCGCCCATCTTTTTCTCTTGTATATATGCAAATTGAGTTCAGTTCAAACATCTAAAATAACACAAATCCATCTAGTAAGACAAATAAGTAATTATTATTACTATTTGTCTATTTTTCATCGCCAATGGATATTATTCACTTAGGGCACAAACAAATCATAGTCCAAACATATTTGTAATCTCCCCAAACCAGACAAAGTTGCCACAATCCCAAATTTAAAAATAAAAATTATTTTACACAAAAGAAATCATATATTTTTGTTTATTCAAAGATGCCCCTACCATCCTCCTTTGGTTCCCTCCCTCCATTCCAACTTCCCCCACTTGTCTCACACTTCTCCTCCTTCCTCTACCCACCTTTATATTAAATGCCCTTCTTCTTCTTCTCCCCCTTACTCATACTATATTAAACAAACTCACAATTTTCCCATTGCTCTTTCTCTCTCTCACTTCTCCCTTTTCAAACCCAAATCCCAAGTCCCAAACTTTCACATTCTTCTCCAGAAACCCATTACAACCCACAAAATTGTTTCCCACCTCTTCTCGCCACCATAACCAATCTCTTTCTCTCTCTAGCACAATAAACCCCTTTCACACACACCTCATTTATGATGATAATGGGGAAGAAGAAAATGAGAACGAAGCCCAATCCATTCACAGATCAATCCCCCACTTCCTCCATTAATAAACCTTCCTCTTCTTCTTCACCTTCTTCGTCTTGCTCATCTCCATCTTCCGCCTCCACATCCACCTGGCCGTGGCCGCCTTACTACTACTGCCACCAGCAGCCGCGCACTCTCTCCTTCCGTACAACCACCTCCGCCGACAAGCCCATCTCCACCGCCACCGCCATGTCCAAGCCCACTGGGCCTACCTCCATCGGACCCGATGTTGTTGGGCCGGGCCCAGGAAACACCGACGCCTCGTTCGATGACGATCCCGCCGCCGTGGAGACCGTCATCCGCGGCCTCAAGCAGTCCGACCGCCGCCGCCTCTTCTCCCCCGACGAAACCAGCTCCTCCATCCTCCGCCGAAAAGATTCATCCCCAACCGCCGAGGAGGAAGCGGATCGCGGCGGAGACGGAGGAGGAGGGGGAGGGGAAAATTTGTTGTACCCTTTCAACGACGGCGGAGCGGCGGCGGTGGCGCTGACGCTGGATTCGCGGGATCCGTTCGAGGACTTCAAGGCGTCGATGGCGGAGATGGTGGAGGCACACGCGCTGCGCGATTGGGAGTCTCTGGAGCAGCTGCTGGGGTGCTACCTGAAGGTGAACGGGAGGAGCAACCACGGGTACATCGTCGGCGCTTTCGTCGACCTGCTCGCCGGCGGCCTCTTTTTCAAAGCGGCGGAGGAAGAGGTTGAGGAATTAAATTGCTCTTGCTCGAATCGCCACAAGGCGGGGGAGGATCTCCGGCGGCATCATTACTCGCCGTCGTCGCCGCTGTCGTTCTACACGTCTTTCTCGTCGTCGTCGTGCTCGGAGGATTCGTCGTCGACGCCGTGCGTGTCGTCGCTGGAGGCGTACCGGGAGGCGGCGGAGGGTGATGATGAGCTGGACGAGATTAGTACTGCAGCTTTTCGCGGTGAGAAGGAAAGGGGAAGGGAGAGTGGGTCCCATTAATTTAATAATGAATTTCTCTCTGTTTATTTCCTATATATTTCTTTTCTGTAAATTAAACCTCTAGCGTAGCTTCTTCTTAATTAATCGGATATATATAATATATTTATCTATATAAATATGACCAATTAAGCCGGGTAAAGAAAATAGGAAGCGAAAAAAGGACCGTCTGATGAATATTTGCATAAATTTCTGTTTCATGAGCTCATTTTCCGGTGGTTGATGCCACGTGAAGTAGGGTTCTTCATTTCTGGGAATCGCCATAGTACTTGCTCTATTTTCATGAAACTGAATGTTTTTTTTTTAACCTAGCTAGCTAGGGAAGAGAATTACTGTGAGTTAATTTCCTTTATGTGAAGAGAATTACTGACTGGCACTTTCACATTAGTAGGTAGTGTACCGTGATCTCAATGAAAGTGACAAATAAAGCAATTAATTAATTATAAGCTCGTATTGTATAGTATCTGCCTAAACTAATTTCATCAAAACAAGGGGCCGGCAATACATATTTAATAAAATATAAATCATCGTTAATTGTTTTTTGAATCATGTCAATTTCACCAGTTGACTGCTGGAAAAATCAAAAGGGCCGTTTCCGGTTGCATGTCGCTTATGATGGGTTTGTTTATTTAGAGTCGTTTGGAAGTTGCGAATGTTAAATCGTTGCATTGTAATGAATCACCATGATATAAATGTATGTATTGATACAATGGATGCATTTTAACAATATATTGTTTGGTTGTTGAGATTCTATTTTATGCATTGATTTACATAAAATTACTTTTATGGAAAAATGTCACATTTACCCTCAACTTTTAGAATAAGACAAAAACTATTGGGGATATAAATGGAAAGAAAACGTTGACACAAATCTAAAACCAACAATCACAACAATCTCAACTTTTAGTTGAGATTGTATAATGCATCATTTTTTGTGATTGTTGGTGGGACCTACCTAAAACAATGCATGCATTGTTTAACACTTTGGCACTTCCAAACATTGTATTGTGCATAATACATGTATTCAACAAACACAACTATAACAATCACAACTTCCAAACGACCCAGTGGATTTGAGTTTGACTTTGACGCTTTCCAATTCTAGGAGCCAACCCTTTCGTGGGAGAGGTTTTTTTTACTACTCAACTAAATGTCCCTTTTGTTTTATTATAATCGTTCTAACTTAAAATTATAAATGAATAGATTGTCCTTTGGCAAACAAAAGAAAAACGAATAAAAACACTCTAACAAGTCTCGAGTCCTCTCCCATTTGTTTCTCTACCGCCATCACTCCTATTTCCCTTTTTCTCAGTGTTCGTCATTGTAAATTCGATCTTGCTTGTGGCGGTCTATTGAGGCAGTGACAGAGAGGATGATCTTTTTTATGTATTTTTTTCAGAAACAAAAAATACACAAGGGTACAAAAGCAATCTTATGTATTGAGTTATGTAGATTTAATTAAATTTAGAGACAAGTTTATCAATACCTTTTCTTAATGAATTTTGGAAGAAAAAGGAAGGCTATCATGTGGAACGTGATTGAAATCAGAATATTTTGGCATAAAATTTATCCTCGCAAATATGAATAACTTGATCACATTCGGGTTTACGGAGATTTTCTTTTCAAGTTAAAGGTGACTTGTCAATATTTTGTTCTTCAGATTGAGTTAGAGTTCAATTAGAAATGTCCCTTTTTTTTTTCTGGCGTGAAAAGAAATAAAGGAGAAGAGGATTGGAGTAGTACTCAAAATAAATATGGTACTAATGGTAGCTTGGAGTTGTGGGTGGGAACAGTTGGGAGACAGTGAGAGGAAGGTTTGCTTGAACGGCATTCTGTATTAAATACTGGCCGATGGACGGCGACGGCGACGGCGAGTAAATAAAAAGCACACTCCATTAAATGTTTATTTTACTGTTTACAGTCTTCGGAAGAAAAAAAAGAAGAAAAATTAACCAGAAGGGTTGGAATCGCATGCATGCCGAACCACAGCCATGCACGTGTGACGGATCCATATCTCCACCAATGGAAACCCTGGATGAGACTGGTCTCTCATCGGAGCCGTTGATTTATTTCTTGCACAAAGGAAAAAATAATTAATATATATATATACATAGAAAATGTTCTATTTTAGGACAGTCATTTTCAAGATGACAGGTACGGATCGAGGCCAGCACAGAATTTTGGCGTGGTCCAATTCCTTCTCTTATGCTTATAAATCATAATTCATATATATTGTGTTTTGTATAAAATAAATTAATATATATATATATATATATATAAATGAATTAAAAATTAAAAAATCGAAGTTTTTGTTTTCTTCAACAATTTCTTCCTTTCCATCCATAGTATAGAATTCATAAATGCCAGTCAGTTCAAAATTTGAACACACTGATGTCCTCATCCATTCAATCTCTATCGTTTTGATTACTACCAACGCCAATTGCCAAGATTAGCAATTTCACTTCCCCGTAATCTTTGCCTAGAACCGGAAATCAACCAAATACCTAGAATTGTATTGATGATGATTTGATATGGACCGATCGAATACGAAAATGATTGATCAGATTGTATTTTTTAGGACGATATGATCGAATGCTTTGCTTGAACTACACATGTTTGTGTTACCAAACCCGAGCATTAGTGTCCTTCTTTGTGCAATTGTTTTCCAACAAATGTGGGGTTTTGTGTTGGGAATATGTAACATGGAGAAGCCAGTTTATGAGAAGAAAACAAAAGGTAGCTAGAGCTAATTAAGCTGCTGTAATATTCCCCCGCGGCCAGTTTCTAAGGCTGAGGAAAGGGGAGGATTGGGACAAAAACCAGATTGCAAAATCCGTGCAGCAAATAGCTCATCACCTTATCATCATCATCAACAACCAAATATAACTTTTGAAATTGAATTTCTCTGTCTCCCTCTCTCTCTCTAAGAAGCAAAGTAAGAACAAAATGTTAGGAAGACAAAACAGTATATATATATATATATATATATATATATTGTAGTAGCTAGATGTAAAAAAAATCAGTATCAGTATGGCAGATTTCATTTTAGTGCAAATATTAGTGGGGTTTGGGGGAATATATATTTGTATGTGTGTGGGCAATTCCTACCTACTACTGGCCATGCCTCGATATGAAAGGTGCACATCACCTAGCAAGTTGTGTAGGATAATTTTCATCTCTGCCAAAAAACCTACGTAGTTCAAATAAGCAGGTGGTAAGTTATTTTTTTTATTTGATAACCCAGGGAACCTCAGCCTCACGTGTCGCTTGAGCGACAGCGGGGCCTACTAAACCACTGGGGGTACCTGCATACTAATCGTGGCTTTCTGCTACCAACATCGGGGAGGCTTCGCCTCCGATACCAAGGGTGCCGCCGGGAACGCTCAAGTGGCGCCACTGGGAATCGAACTCAGGACCTCTCACATCCAGAGCTCAATTGGACCAGTGGTTTCACCACTAGGCTATGTTACCTTTGGCGGTGGTAAGTTATGAGGAGCCCTTTAATTACAACTTGAGTTGTTTCTTACTCCAAGTGAAGTGGAGAAATTTAATTCATGGTTGCGCATAAAACTATGGGCAAGTGCGGGAGAGAGATTCGAAGGAAAACACAAAGCTTATATGCAGTAACTTATGTGGAAGTAACGATATGTAGAACTTAGAAGTGAGTGTAAAAAATACCAAGTTTTCCCATTCCAAAGCATTAGCATGTCAAAAAAGAAACACCGGTGTAAAATCGAGGCATTATCACGTAATAGAAACACAGATTCATTATGTTCATATACCCACATCATCATCTTCTACGTCATTGACATCATCATCTCCACCACCACCATCGCCTGCTCTGGTTCTTTATCGCTCATTGTTTCAGAATCTCGGTCTACGCCCTACGAAGCACACCGATCTTTACACATATCATGTTGACTATGTGGTTGTGCCTACTTGCTACAAACAAGATGATGGCGATCCTCGTTGGGAGGAAGCCATGAAGCTCGAGTTTTCTTCCCTCCACCATAAGAATACGTGAAGGATCTTCCTTTGAGAAATATGATAACAATCGAGAAGACAAGACGGGTTTTACGTGGTATCCTCGATCAATAGATTGATCGAGATTAATCCACGGGAGAGTAGAACACTCTCCAGCTGCAGCTTTTATTGATTATTATGAATTGATGGTCGAAGCCTGCTGGTTACATAAACATATATATCCTCGTTTACAATATGTAACTAGGGTTTGACCCTCGGGAGAGACGTCGGACGCGTCACATGCATGGGCAGCATGGACCTCACGTGATCCGTGCGTGGGCCGAGCTCCATGGGCCTAGACACTCCCCAATACTCCCCCGCAAGCTGGAGCGTGAAGATTACGCACGTTCAGCTTGGACAACAAGAAGCGGAAGCGATCAGCACCAAGACTCTTTGTGAAAATGTCGGCCAACTGGAGATGAGAGCTAACTTTCAGGGGACGGATGTGACCAGACCGAACCCTCTCACGGACAAAGTAACAGTCCATTTCCACGTGCATGGTGCGTTCATGAAAGACTGGATTAGCAGCGATACGAAGAGTTGCTTGATTATCACAATATAGAGGCGTCGAATGACGCTGAGGAACAACCAACTCAGAAAGTAACCATCGAAGTCAAAGAATCTCACTAACTGCACTGGCCATGACACGATACTCCGCCTCTGCAGAGGAACAGGCAACAACACGTTGCTTCTTGGTGCGCCATGAAATCGAGGCGCCACCTAAGCTGATAAAGTATCCCATGGTGGAGTGACGGGTGCTGTGACAACCTCCCCAGTCAGCATCGTAGTAAGCAGTAAGACTGAGATCATTGTCGGCCGGGAAAAACAACCCCTGACCAGGGGTGGATTTCAGGTACAGGAGAATGCGAGTAGCAGCATCCAAGTGTTCCTGACGAGGAGCAGGGACAAACTGACTGAGGATATTAACTCCGTAAGTGAGATTAGGCCGCGTAACAGTCAGATACAGAAGGAAAACTACC